TTCCAGTAGGGATTACTATTCAATGTGCCCAAGCTTCATAACCTTTTACATGAAATATATTGGAATTATTTTCTCTGTTGTACTTAACTTCAAACTGCAGCAGGCAGAACTGTAGAAGTACAAATGTGCAGCCTTCATGCTCAGTAATATTTGCAGTAACAGAATTTTATTGCAAGATAAACCACTTGAAAATTCCTTCTTGGCAATTTATGTGAAAATCAGAATTGCCACTAGCCAAAATTTCTCCATTCAAATGTCATCAAATCTGCAATGAGCTTAATTAATGAAGATAAAAACAGCATTTGTCTCCTTAAAATGAGGCATTAATTGTCTGAAGGTGAGGATTCAGCTTTAAGGTTAGACAGTACCTGCAGAACGAGGGAGCTCCTTTTCTAGAGGAGGATTTCCTCAGCTTGAAAGATAAAGCAGAGACCAAGGAGACTCTTCAAAAGCTATTAAAGGTCTCCCTTCAAAAAGAATTTAAATATAACAGCGTTTTCTGCACTTGTGGAATTCAGTATTATAATTTTCCCACCGAGGAAACCCAGACTCCTGGAAATGAATCTGCTTGGAGAAAGGCTGGGATGTCAACAAAGGTATTTTCATGGGCTTTGGGCTTAAATTTAGATCCAGCTCCAAGTTTACATTCAGCTGACCAGAAAACACAGATCCTCGTGAAGGAGACTCTTTTTTCACCTCACCTAATTCCAGGTGAATGGATCAAATGTGGTCACCTCACCCAGGAGTGCCCAAGGCTGCTACAGGAGGAATAAAGGAATTGCAGAGGAAGGTGAGATTCACCCTGGGCCACAGCAAGGGCTGAAGGCCCTGCAAGAATCAAAACTGCAAGAAGTTACCTGGAATTAATTCATGACTTGACCACAGCTTAGTTTGGCACTTTCACTGTTCATGTTGTTCTGCATGTTTTACTCATTTTTATCTTTGAAGTTGATCTTTACAGTAATTTAAAAATAATAATGCTAAAGTGTGTTTTGAAATTTTGAACAAGGCAGACATTTGAAAAAAAAAAATAAAATGCTCACTATTCATCTTTTTGCTCCCTGAACACTTCAGAAAAAAGCAAAACTCTCAAGACCAGTTTCTCATTTTGTAACTAACTGAAGCCAAACTTTCTGGCAGTGCAGTGAATGCTGGTAGTGCTGCACAAGCCATCCCAGCTAAACAGTTCTGACAGTCTCTACTGGCATAGCTGCACTTGAACATGATGGCTGGACACGTAAAATGCACAAAAAGGAGATTACTATTAATATGCAAAAGCATTATGCATCAAAAGCCAGGCTGGCTCTGTCTGAAGGCTGTAACGCCTAATGAAAACTGAATTTGAACAAGAGTACTAAATGATATTATTTTTTTTTCCCCCTTACAAATGGACTTTTACCCATAAAGAAACTCCCCACCAAAGACTAAATCTGAAGGGGATATTTCTGCTCTCCTTGTGGCATGATTTAATCCCAGCATCAGAGCAGTAAGAACATGGAAGGTTTGCTCTCCTGCTCTTTGGAAAATAAAGAAAGAATCATACTTTCCAATTTCATAAGTCTCCTAAACTTGATACTCAAAAAGGGAACTGTGAATCTGATACATGACATTGCTGGGCCTGAGGGCTTAACAGTTTATTTCTGTATTAGACTGAGAAAAGAAAATGAAAAAATGAAAATGAAAGCAATAAAAACACCTGAATTGACATGAAGAAATACATAGAATATGATCTAGTTTTAAACTCAAATGGACTGCCGAATAAGGAATTAGAAGAAAAATCTATACTGAAATTTGCCAGTAGGCAAAGTGACAGAACATGAGCCAGGCTTCAGTGTCCAAATAATTTCTATATATTACAGTAGTGCATTGGCTGGGTTTTTGTTTGTGGTTTTGTTTGGATGGGGTTTTTTTTGCCAAGGCTTGCAAATGAAGAAAAAAATATAATAATTATTTTTTGTTTTCTCTATTTAAATAAAGTGCAGCAAAGCCAGTGTTAGGATACACTGTTTGTGATGGCAAGGAGTCAGAATTTTAGGACAGAAAGCTAATCCAAGTGGCGTCTCCAGTCTCACCCTGGACACGATGTTTGAAATGTGCGCCTTCATCTCCTGAAGGGGAAAAATTTTATGTATTTACACACAGAGTCCTCCTTGTTTCGTTTCTTTGAACTCTCTCTTTATTCACAGCTTTCCTTCCCCTTCAACCGCCCTTCAGAAGTTGTTTTTCCTGTCAAAGCTCAGGAGGAGCTTTAGGAAGATCCCTTTCAGGGGAGGAGAGAACAGCTGCTTCCAGCAGGAGAGAACAGCAGAGCTCTGAGAGGCAGGGAAGAAAGCAGAGCCTGTGCTCTGCAGGGCTGGAGCAGCCCAGGCACTGCCTCTGTGCCTTGTCCTGCTCTCCAGGAGCAGGAAAACGAAGCCAAAATGCACAAAAGTGCTCAGAAAGTGCCTCACAAACTGCAGGGAAGTTTTTACACACTCATGAGATGGGGGTTCACAGTTTCATCAAATGGCTCATCAAATTCCTCCTCACATATTCCAGACAGGAATTCTACCCCAGTTCCCCAAAGACCAAGGGCAATCAGCACATTCAGGAGGGGTGAAAGCCCTACAAGAATCAGAAATTGCAGGAAGTTACACCTGGAATTAATTCATCACTTCACCACAGCTTAGTTTGGTACTTTCACAGTTGATGTTGTTCTGCATGTTTTACTCATGTTTATCTTTGAAGTCGGTCTTCAGAGTAATTTAAAGATAAGAATGCTGAAGTGTGTGTTTTGAAATTCCGCTCCTAACAAGGCAGACATTTGGAAACCCCACATATATACATATATATTTAACACTCAGTAATCACCTTTTTGCTCCCCAAGGTAAATGGACAAAAAGACCATGGCACCATTAGTCATACAGATATAATCACACTTCAATAAACAAAAACCCAAGGGCCACTGTTTTTTTAATTAGATCCTCTCACATTCTCCTCTTTGATGAACTATGAAGATTCACAACAGATAAAGGAAAAGCAATTCAATATAGGGCACTGCAATAAGGGGCATGGTTTGAAACACATTATCTGCAAAGACAGACAATGTCAGGGTTCATAAGCCAAGATCAGCATCATCTCCTTTTCTGCAGCTGTGATGTTATGAAATAACACTGAACTGCACACAGCTCCTTCAAGAACTGTCTTTTTGCTTATAGGCAAAGCAGAAGAAAAATGGTTTTCTATGGGCAGGCAGAATACCTGCTCATCTGTCTTAATAAGAGTTTAAAACAAAATTCTCCAAACTGTTAGACAGCTTGTTCCCACATTTACAGCCTGTTCTTACTAAAACCTGTTTGGAAATCAATTCAGCCCCAGGATTTCCAAGTGGATTTGAGCAGCCTGCTGCTCCAAAGTTCCACGGAAGAGATTCATGCAGTTGAAGCAAACAGGTCATGTTAGCATGAACACATGCCCAAATAAGAGGTTTTTATGTCAGGATTGAGCCCTTCTGCAGAGTTTTGAGGGAGATGGGTCAGGCAGCTGGAAACTGGAAATTTCTCAAACTGCATCTGGCTCAACTCCTGTCTGCAAGTGCTGACAGGGACTGCACACAACCGGCAGCTGGAAATTGGAAATTCCTCAGACTGCACCTGGCTCAACTCCTGTCTCTGCAAGTGCTGACAGGGACTGCACACAACCTCCTCAGTGACAGCAATCCAACATTAAATCTGGGATGTACATCCTGGATGGGTGCTCCAGGCTCCCAAGTGCACCAGATGGCTTTTGGAAATGGGAAAATCAGCTTTTCACTGGACTTCTTGCTGGTTCTCCAATCTACCAACTCCCCACTAAACTGACACCTGGCAAGTACCCAGCTGCAGGGAGCGACTGGAATAGGTGCAGAGAAGGGCTGGGAGGATGGACACTGGTTTAACAATGTCACTTCCCCTTCTTTAAAGTTCCTGACTAAGCCAAAACCCAATCCTGGCCTTCTGAGCCTCCAGGAGAAGCTGAATCCATCTACCCTGGAGCTGTGCACAGGACTCCAACCCTCTGAGAACAGCCAGGACACAAACACTGCTCAGGGGAGGAAGGGGATGGAAGGAGAGACTGGCACAGGAGGAGATCCCAGCCAGGGCACTGCCCAGGGCAGCCACAGCATTTCCCTTCATTCCCCCTTGGAGTTTCCTGGAACACAAACTCATCCATCCACAGCAGAGCTTGGGGATAAACCACTCCATTTTCACGCTCCATGAAGGGCAGGCACTGCCCTGCTCCCCAGAGCTGTGCTGGCCATCCTGAAGAGAATACAGGGGCATCTGGGCACTGCCCTGCTCTTGGCAGGGCTGGCAAAGCCAGGGGGCACAGAATTCACCAGGGCAGGAGCTGCTCCTCTCCCCTCACACCCTCAGCATCACTGGGGAAGCTGGAGCAGGAGAAGCTGAGCAGAGAGGACCAGGGTGAGCCCTGTGCTGCTGGGAGTGAGCACTGAGCTCCACAAGGGAAGGGAATGTGACTCTGCAGGGCTGGTGTGGCAGCAGAGAGGAGACCTCAGCAGCAGCACCAGCTCCAAACTCCCAGAGCTGTCTGGCACAGCAAGAAAAGCAAATCTCTGCACCAACTCCAGGGCTGCTCCTCAGCAATAAACCCCTTTCCAAAGCAGAGTTTTTAGAAAAGCTGCAGCATCAGCCTTAGCAAGAATGTGGAGTGTCCAGTTAAAGACAAACACACACTGCAGCTCTTAAATCAGCACACCTACCAACAGCATCCTTAATGCATCCCAGTGTCTTCTGCCTGCTTGGAAAGCACAGCCCCACGTAGCAAAGGCTCTTTTCATTCACTCACTTTTCATGTTTTGCATTATTTAACATGTCTGTTGCATGCCTGGTTTCTAAACTCTACACAGCTTGTGCATTTCAAAGCCTCTGGGTGCTCCTCCTCCTCCTCAAGTGCAGCTGAAACCTTGAATCTGGGAACTCATGCACAGTTCTACAAGAGAAGTTAGAGATTATTGTTACCTGCAAGGCAGCCAACAAACGACGCCAGGAACAGCTGCTCCCACAGCAGCAGCAGCATCTTCAGCCTCCTGAATTCAGTAATTCTGGCTGTCTCACAGGAACTGTGTGCTTGAGTCTTTCAGGCGGCCAGGTTTAACCTGTTAAAAGAACAGACATAAAACGGAATGCCTTGGTGGTCCTTAAGAACTGGCTTCCTTGATAATGCACTTTAAATAAATACAAAGTTGGCATATCCTTTAATGTTCCGTTTTTTCCAGGAGTTAATCCCCCAACAGAAGGGTGCATCCATATTTCACATTTTTTCATGCACATGAGGTGCTGGAAGTTTTACTCTCCAGCAGGAGCAGAGCTGACAGCAAAGTTGATTTTGCAGCTCCCACCAAGCTCCAGCACTGATTTATTTGTGAAATACAGTGGGTTTAAAGGAAGGGAGGAGATGAGGTGCAACCACACACAGTTCAGCAGCTGAACACATCTGGGAGCAGCAGCTTGTGCTGCACTTGCCTTGTGCCAGCCATGCTGGCAGCAACACAAACCTGTGACTGATTTAATTAAAGCCGTGTCCAACCCATCCTTTTTTTTGATGTACTGGAGTGTGATGTGTCACTGATGGCTTTTTTAGTTTTTAATTCCTCTTTGGACTTCTGCACCAGGTGCAATGAGCCAATTTACTGAAATTTCTACCTCTGTCACTGGCCAGATGATAAATCCTGTGCCCAGCCTTACCAACCTGTGACATTATTTCACTTGGGTTTTTTTTTCCTGAAGAAGCTTTACAGTAATTTTTTTTAGTTCCAGGACAACTCTGGCCTTTGTATTTTCTGCATGTCACTTCCATAGCATCCTCTTTCTTCAGAGGAGGGGAGACAGGCAGGACACAGCCCAGACTAAATGATTCCTTCTGCAATTGGCCTACAGACCCTTCATGGCCATATGAAGGTTAAGAAAGCAACTACTAACTCTGAGGAGCCACATCTGAGATGCCTGAACTTGATGTTTCCATGTGAACTACCTTTTTTTTTTTTTGGTTATTGTTGGTTTTTTTAACATTAGAATTAAGGGTTTAATACTGCTGTAGAACAAGTGTTTGAATTTGTAGCTAAGCTCCCCAGAAAAAGAATTCAAACAGAGGGTCCTGTCTGATACATCCCAGCCTGTGATTAGCTATGAGAATTTTCTCTCCTCCAAACACATCACCCTTTGCCACAAGGAGAGCATTTTTTCCTCATCCTGCCACCCCTGGCTCCTCGGATCCACACAGAGCTGGCAGTGGCATCCTCCATCCAGTGTTGAAGTTCTTGCTTTCTCATTTCTCCCACGTGCTTCTAAACCAGAAAATCAGCAAATCCAAGCCCTCACATCTCTATCAAATATCAGGTATTGATCCCTCAGCAAAGCTGGCACAGAGGAAGGCTCACAGCAGAGATGCAGCAACTCCCAGGCACCTCAGATGGGAATATCCCACCCCAGGGCAGCTCCTGGGTACAATTTTAGGAGCCTCACCCAAGTTCTCACAGATCTCAGATTGAAAAATGTTGGTGACACACAACTAAAATGCTATTGGTTTCCAAAAGGAGTGGTGGGAGTACAATAAATTCTATTCGTTTTCCATGGTAAAAATCTCAGAACAGTGCTTTGGCAACAGGTTAGTTCTTCACAGAACATCCTGGGTTGGAAGGGACCCACAAAGATCCTAAATCCAGCTCTTAGCCCTGCACAGGACACACCCTGTGCCTCAGAGCATTGTCCACACTTGAGCCAAATAAAAACCGAGGTCACAAAGAAACCTGTTCTGTGGCAGATCTGCAGTTCAAGGCTTTACTTTTCTCCTTTGCTGTTTGGTTTTTGGTTTTGCTTTTTGCTTTCCATAGCAAAGCAAATCCACAAGAAAACCCCAAACAAACAGAATCAAAATAACACAAAACCCCACAAAAAGAAGGGCAAACAAACAACAAAAAATAAACTTAACAACATAAAAAACTTCTTGTTGAAGCTGTAGGCTTGGAATTGGCCATTCCTCACCCTGTGTTTCCAAGGGCACCCACAAAGCCTTGCCAAGGGAATGTTACCCATGGGTGACATTCATCACCACCCCAGCCCCTGGAACCCAGGAATTCCACAGCTGCCCAGAGCAGAAGGGCAGGCAGGGGAGGAGGTGAAGCATCAATATTAAAGTAGGTCACTCTTGTGTGTCAGCTTCCTTGCAGTCTTGCAAGGAAAAAAAAGAAAAATATGGAGAAGCTAAATTGATTTGGTTTTGTTCTCTAAGTGCTCTGGGCAAAGCAGAACGTGATAGATCCATTTCAGGCCAGAAAAAAAATGCTTTGGTAGAAGCTGAAGAAAAAAATTAAAAATTGAAAGCTTTGTATGTGAGTATAAAATCATAAAAATACATTTCAACCTCTGGCTGCATTTTATTTTAATAAATTTTAATATCTAAAGTGAGAATAGTAGCTACCAGCCAACACTGTAAGACTTAAATGACTTTAAACACTTCATTTTGCCTGTGTTCTGTGAGGTTTTGCTAATCTAGGATCTACTCCTGAATACCCCTGCTTCATTTTAAAAGCAGCACACTTAGGAGTGCTGAGATTTCCAGCTCTAAGCCAGACAAATACATCCTTGTGCTCAATAATATCTTCTTTACAAAGATGCAAACCCAGATGTACACCCAAAGCATGAATTTATTGAAGTTCCTCCCCAGCTCATCGCTTTCCCCTAAAGAAAAGGAGCCCAAAGAAGTTTTTCTCTGCAGAGGGGTACAGAAGGGTTAGAAAGCAGAGCTGACCCTGGTCAAGGCAGTGGGATCAGGCTGCTTACAGAGCCCTGGTCAATGCCTGGCACTGGAGAAAGCTTCTGCCTTGGACATTGCTCCAAAAAGAAAAAAAAAATCAAATTCTGAACATCACAGCTCAGCCTCACTGCAACCCTTTCATTCTTACCCCAGTGATCTAAAGATGAAGATGGTAAAATCCCTAAATATTGTATTAGAAAGGCTGCAGTGAGTTGTTTTTTGTAATACACACATTCCAATTTTTTTTTCTGAGATAGAAACAGCCTGCATCAAAGAAATCCACTGCCAGTGCAAGGATCCAAAATCCAAGGACAACACTGAGCATCCCTGTCACCTTCACAGCTCCTCCGCAGCCCCAGCTGCTTCTCAGGTCCCAGCCCCTTGCCTCTGGATTTTGTGTTCAAAATGTCCCATTGTAATATTGCATTAAAATTGAATTAGTAAAATATCCATATTAAAATATTAATATTATTAAAGTACCAATTATTATAAAATTACTCTTAATATTAAGAGTAATTTCATGTCTCCCTTCACAGAAGCAAAGGGGCAGAGCCACAACATCTGGGTGGTTTTGGAAATAAGACTTAAACTGGCTCCCCCAAAATTCAGCACTTTGTACGTAAAGGCCAGGAAGAATAAAGACAAACAGCACCTGATGTGGTTGGAAAAGATTGTAAAGAAACAAAGTAATAGCCACAGAATATGCAAAAGGAAATGGAACTTTATTTTTAAATCAGAGAGCTTCCTATTATTAGGTAGTGCTCTGCTTTCAGAAGCCAAAGTATTTCAAGGCAGTAAAAAAGCAAAGCTGTGAAGTGGTGAGAAAAACACCAGGAAAAATTAACAGATTCCATTTCTTTCTTATGAATTTCTTCAACTTTCAGAGAAAAGTCAATTTTCATTAGTTGCTCCAACCATTTTCTTGATGGAAACAACTGGTTTTCCAGAAAAAAAACCCCAAAAACAAAACCAAAAAAGAAAAACAAACTACCAGCCAAACAAATTAAGTAGGATGGGAGCACACACATATAAAAAAATTCAGCTTCATTTTGTTTCCTATAAAATTAACCTTCCAGACCTCTGAACTTTCAGATCATATAATATGGCAAGCGATACACATGAACATCTGAAAGAAATAAAAAGTTTGGGAAAGGTTCAAGAGTCAGTAATTTTATTCAGTGACCTTAATTTTTACTATACAGAGTCAAACATAAAACAAAGTAGTTCCCTAAAGGTGGAATTTTTATTTCTATATATATAGAACTGGAACTTGTCAGAGCTGGCTGGCAAGTTCATTTTAAACTTGGAGTTTGAGCAGAAGGAATTTGTAGAGTCATGGAGTCTAATTTAATCAGAATTTCCTGGAGCTCAGGAGAGCTGTGGAGACCCAGAACTTATTTTTCTGTATTGATCACAAAGCCCAGCACAGAAAACCAAGTGATGTCCTGACACTAGAGGTCAGCAGACCTTTACTAAGGCAGGGAATTATTAAAATCTCATAAAATCATGGAATTATTTGGGTTGGAAAGCATCTTAAAGATCATTTCACTCCCACCTTGCCATGGCAGGGACACCTTGCACTGTCCCAGGCTGCTCCAAGCCCCAGTGTCCAACCTGGCCTTGGACATTCCAGGGATCCAGGGGCAGCCACAGCTGCTCTGGGCACCCTGTGCCAGGGACTCGCCTGGATGAAATAGGATATTTACCCTCCAGTTAATGCTGAAGTCATCTCCACAGCACCCATGAAAAGATGAGGTGTTGAATGCTCCACAACGAGCTCAAGTAGCTCATTTTATTTATTTTTTGGGGAGGGAGTGCTATCCATTTGTGATTACCCTCAGGATGAAATCAGCAGTTACGAGAAGTGACCCAATCCACCAGATTTCCATCAGGAAACAGCTGAGCTGGGAATTTCCTCTCCACCGAGTCAAACCTCTGCCTCCCACGTCCCTGTCCAAGCCTGAAGGCACCAGTGCCATGATGGAAATATTCCAGTTTTGCACGGCAATGCCACACTTACCTCTCCACGGTCAACAAAAAATAATTAGAAAAATTCTACAGTCACAGGATTTTGAACACCCCAAGGAAGGAGAACTAAACCCCTGTGGTAGGTCCTATCTGGACCTGATTTATCCAGCTAATCTTTCTCTAATACCAGGGAATCCCCAGACTGTGCTTCGATACCAACACAGCCAGTTCACTTGGACCTGTGTGGAGATGAATCCAACTCAAAAGCGCTAAAGGTTATCTGCAAATATCCAGGCAAGGTTAGACTGTGCAATGCCACAGCTGACCACTAATTATTTACTAAAATCCAACTGGAACCTGTCATTTGTTGCACTG